ATTTGGCGACTCTCTTTTCGTCCCATCATAGTAACTTGATGACGTGAAGAGACACAGTAGTTGAACAAAAATCGATACTATGATCATAACATAGTGTAGAATTAGAAACTTACATATCCTGCTATTGCAGTCCATACATAATCAGCATATAGATCATGATTTAATGTGAGATTGATGCCCTGAGACGATCCTATTTTGTGACTGCACAACTACCAAACGCTTCCCCATCTCGACTAGCCATTAATGATGACTTGAAAAAGAAAAGTAGAACCTTGTGATTATAAACTTACTTAGTAAGTAATTTACTTGTCGGCTCTCATCGCATCCTTGTCCTAATAAGTTACCACGAGCTTATCTTTAGATTTTAGGAAGTTCGGTCCTAGGTTTAATAGTTATCTAAACTTTTGAGAAAGCTTCAAATCTTCGATTTTTCGATCAAAATTTGAAAGTATTTTCTATAATTTAACCAATTAATTCAAAAATTATAACAAAATGACCATAAATATTTTGTCTATGTTCATCCACAACAAGCTAGATAACTTAGTACTATTCATAAGCTATAAATTATCGATAAAGTAGATTTACACGATCAATGTTTCTTGGAGTTTTCACAAACCTTTATTAACGTTGTAGAAGTTAATCATATCTTATCTTATCTTATCATAAATCCATGTTTTTCTTAAAGATCTATCAATTTCTTGCTTCAATTATTTGCAAATGAGTATTATTGTCTTTTTATTATTCAAATATTATGAGTCTTGTCATTCTTCTTTTAAGGTAGTAATTAATTTTAATGTTTCTGGGTCGTCTTTTGCTAAATGAATAAATAAATAGTTAATGATAAGTTCTCGTGACTTTGTTTTTTGTTTTTCTAAAAGACTTTGTACCAATGAAAACCTTAGATTTCTACTTAATCATCTTTAATAATGTTATGACCCTAGATTTCTACTTATCAAGAGTCGTTACTGTCAACATAATGTGATCATTTCTTTTCGAAAATAAACGTTTGAACTTCTTCATAAACATAACTTCATCTTAAAACATTGTTATGGACTTATGTGTCCGAAAACATCCTTAAAATGACACAACAGGATACTAAATGAAATAAATAAACATTTAAATTAAAATCATCCGATTCTAACTTAAGTCTAAGAAAATAAATGTAACCTATGCATGTATCATGGTCTTGAGTTGCAATGTCGTTGTCAACCGTATAGGGATGACCTGCCTTTACCTAAAATAAAAGTAGTACATGGTCCACATGTGTGAGTATGGACCCACAGTTGGTTTGCACACCTCTTGGGCCTCTTTCTGGTCGGGCGAGCATTCTCTAGTAGTTGTTGATGCCGGACACCCGTTAGGAATAGCGGCCGTCATGACAGCATTATGGTAAACATAATGATCGTTTCTCTGCCTCGTAATGTATGCTCTGCACTATCGTAAAAGGAGAAGGGGTATCCCCCGATGCTTGAACACACAATAATGTATGAGGTCCTCACATTATCATGTACTACAACCTCGCTAGCATCTTCCTTCATATCATAACATTTTTGTCATATCTTCCATACGTGTATCGGGGTTGTATCTCATGCCAAAAACATCTTGTTGCATGTCATTCATACCATATATCTTAACATGTCACATGTGTCATATCATAAGCATATCATGTCATACCATGCATGTATCATGTCATAAAGCAGATCACCATATATGTCGTATCATCAAACATATCATGTCATAACATATATCCTAACATATCATAGTCATATCATTTCATAACATATATCTTATCCTTCTCGTATCATATCTTAAATATATCATCAAATGCATCGTATCATAACAATTATCATATCATTCACATATCATAACATAACATTTACACAACACATCATAGTCATTTCGTTTCATAATTATTTCACACACGTCCAACATATGACACGTGTAGAATTTACGGGGCACGTATCATCATACAACATCAACTTTTAACTAAACCGATAGTAAGGTCATTTACTTGGTTGACCTAGGTCAAAGCTACTACGACCCCTTGATGATCCTAGCTTAACGCTGCTCTCTGAAATTTAATCATGCATAAGGAGTTTAAGATAATAAATTAGAATTCTAATATGGAAATTGACCCCCCTAATAATTTAAACTAACTAAAAGGTAACCGTACTAATTTTAAACGCTTCCAACGAGTTAAAACTAGGAGGAAAGGGTCCGAGCGCATCAGACTCAAGCCAGATCAGCCAAAATGCCACCCTTGAGCCATTAGAAAGTGTGTTCTCCGACTAGTTTCGAACTGTTCAAGTGGGGTGCTAAAATGAAGTGAGGGACCTCCCTTTTACAGTGGAGGCCATCCTACCGACGTTTTTTTTCTTCTTTTTTTTTTTCAAAACATTACGTTATTACAAATAAATAATCAATAAACTAGATTTACACAATCTATGAATGTTGGAGTTTGTGGAACGTTTATCAACGTTGGAGCAGGTGATCATATCATCTGTTTTATTTTATAATAAAAAGTCATATTTTTCTTAAAGTTCTGCGAATCGGATTATTTAGCAGACAATATCCACCACAAAATATTGCCTTTTTATCATTCAAATATTTCTTTTAGGTACTACATAAACTTTGTTTTAATTAAAAATAATAAACTTTGCTTTAATTAAAAATAATTAAAATCTTTTGAGTTTTTTTTGTTTATAAATTGTTTTTTATTGTTTTAAGATTACATTATTTCTTCAAGGACTCGTCATTCACCAAACGAGTAGAGATGGTAGAAACAACGAACTTTCATATTCATATGATATTGTCCACTTTAAGTTTAGTGCTTGTGGCTTTACTTTTAGTTTTCTAAAAAGCCTCGAATTAATGATGATAATGTCTCTTACTTGTATATTCCTGATCCTCTCCTTAATTAGCTAACGGACTCCAACTATTCTCCAAGTTAGTGATAAGTTTGAATTTTAAATTAAAAAACAACGTTGGTGTCATATGTTAGAATCTTGGAAATTTAATGTTTTTTTTATGTGGGAGTGGAAATTCATATTTTAAAATTATATTAAATGTTAGTTGAATTATTGTGAGTATAATTGGTTTCTTTTAAATAAAAAACATGGGAGGTGACGTGTCAAATAATATAAATTTCTAAGATTTAAATCAAGATTTAGAATATTTACGTTTGAGTAAAAGAGGAGTATATGAATCAAGCGAGATCATATCTGAATGAGTGTGAGATCTTACCTCCATTGGAGACGGGAACAAAATATTTCTTACAAGTGTGTAGAAACCTCTCCCTAACAGATTCGTTTTAGAAAATAACAGTGTAATTGGATTTCTATGAAATGGTTTCACGGAATTTAGTCAATATAAAGAGGTCAATTGGCTTATTGAGTCACAACAATTGTTTCCTTTCATCCCACTTAGACGGTTTGAAGTCAGTTAGAGAATGCATTTTACGACGACTTCGACTTTGCAGTTGATCCGGCTTAGATCTGATATGCTCGAACTCTTTCCTACCATTTTTTACTCTTCATGAGGCGTCTTTAACACTTTCAAAAGCGTTTAAGATTAATATGACTACTTTTTAGTTATTTTAAATTATTTGGAACAAAGATTATATTATTTTATGTAAATTAAATGAGCCAATTTCCAAAGTAAGTTCTAAATTAGGAGGTGAGACTTAGGTAGAATTAGATTTCAAGTAGCATTTTTAAGTTAAGGGAGTGCTGTGACTTCGGTTAGGCCAATGAGGTAAGTGACTTTACTATTGGTTTGGTTGGATGAATTATATGAAGTATGAATGGTGCGTGCTTTGTGACTCCACACGCTATACTTTGTGACCGTTTGACATGTATTATATTATATTATGCAATGATATAAGTTATATTATGTTATACCTTGGGATGTTTGTGTTATGTTATGTATTTTGTTATGGATTTAATGATATACGATGCATGATACCTCTACATGTTATGTTATGCACACTATGTTAGCACGTTCCCTTTAGGTTTATGAAATAATGTTAAGCCACATATATTATTCACAGAAGTTATATTATGAAACAATAGAGGTACGACTTGCATTATATGTATATGTCATGATTGAAAGCCATGAGAACTTCATGCATTTTGTATGTTACGTGCATTGGGATACTTGTTCGTTATGATTAGTATAGACGTGTACATTACACTGTTATGTACACCATAATATCATGTGCGCTCCTTTCCCTCTATGACATTTTAATACCGTGAGTGTATGCTAGTTGAAGGGTTGCATATACGAGTCTGCCTCAGGGTCTATGTATGTGTGTGGGAGCCATGTATAGAGAAGTATTGCACATCCAAACCGGTCTGGATTGGAAAGTGAGACCAAGGCCACGATGATGATGAAATGATAGGTCCCCATATGATTACATGTGTTTGCATGTCTTAACCACAATAGTGGGGGCTACTTAATGAGTATTTTTTTAATACTTAATCCAAGTGCTACTTTTTTTTTAGAGGTAAAGGTTAGGCACCCATGTACAGATGACGACATCGCTGAGAAGATCATGGAAGTTAAGTAGCTCTTAAGTTAGATCAAGACGTTACCTATTTTTCCGCTATGTTTTTTTTATAACATAACTCTTATGAAATGTTTTTGCAAACTTTTTCACATATTAGGAACATCATACATGTAGTGGCGTCTTTGTTTTATTAGGAAAAATAGGATTGTTACAGTCTTGATCGTAGAATAGTATTAAGAAATAGGAATCCATGTTACCAAAGAATTTTCTACAATTATTTCTAGTATGGAATGAATCAATCATCCAGTTTGGTATCTTATTGAACAACGAACAAAAATTGGTGACATCATTCCTACCAAACCACAATATATTTTTAAATTCCAAATGGAAAAGAAAAGTGATTTGTTTTTATTCCAAAAGAAAGAAAAATCATTTGATTACTTTTTGAAAATGTATCTATAAATAAACATGGGTTTTGATGCAATATGCAAGAAAAGCAAAGAGCTTAGAGTTGTGAAAGATATGAAGATGGGTGAAATCTTTGGAATCACTCTCATTTTGCTTCTTATGGTATGAATTTTTGCATCATTTTCTAACTTAGAATTTTTATTTTTTATTCGAGTCTTTTAAGACTTCGTTCTTTAACTTACGAGAATTTTTCTAAAGTTTTGAAAATAAACTATGTAACCCGAATCTAATAAAGTGTAATAATCTTTTTTTTTTCTTGTTATATGGTCATTAGTTCGTCAACAACATAGAGTCAAGACATGAACCAGGAAAACGCTTGAGCAATGTGGAAGGGAAAGAGGATAGCATTGAAGGCAAGCAACCTGAAAATGAAAAACGGTTTGTTAAGGATATAGAACCAAGACCAAGTGCTACCTTTTATCCAAAAGAGGCGGAAAAGAAATCATTTTTTAAAGACATTGAGCCACGACCAAGTGCCACATTTTACCCAAATGAAAATGTCAATGTCATACTTTTTGACAAAGATATTGAGCCACGCCCAAGTGCCACATTTTACCCAAATGAAAATGTCAAAACCATGCTTTTTGACAAAGATATTGAGCCACGACCAAGTGCCACATTTTACCCAAATGACAATGTTAAAACCTTAGTTTTTGACAAAGATATCGAGCCACGACCAAGTGCCACATTTTACCCAAATGACAATGTCAAAACCTTAGTTTTTGACAAAGATATCGAGCCACGACCAAGTGTCACATTTTACCCAAATGACAATGTCAAAACCATGCTTTTTGACAAAGATATTGAGCCACGACCAAGTGCCACTTTTTACCCTAAAGACAATGTCAAGACTATACTTTTTGACAAAGATATTGAGCTACGACCAAGTGCCTCTTTTTACCCAAATGACAATGTCAAGACTATACTTTTTGACAAAGATATTGAGCCACGACCAAGCATCTCATCTTACCCAAGTACCACAGCGTATCCTCACGATCACAACCCAAAAGTTTCCTCTACTGATTGTCACGACGAATCTGACATACAGCTCCCACGAGCTTAACGTCATGTCAATAACAACCATGGGAGAAGGAAGTTTATGATGACAATAAAAATGATGGAGCTTTGAAGAAACCTTAAGCTATGATCCAACTACTCGTGGTTTGTAATTTACTTTTTGTGTTGAATGTAGTGTGATTTGTGAAATAAATAAATATTTTGTGTTCAAGAATGATGGAATGAACCGTTTGAACTCTCCTTTACCAATCAAATGATTTATTTTACTTTTGATATGAACTAAGACATCTCAATCTAACGTCCCATTTAAAAAAATCAAGTTTCATTTCTACCATTAAAAGCTTCAAAATACTTTGGATGAGACTTCATTTATTATTAGATAGCTATAAATTTATAATAGATGATAATTTAGAGTTAATGTATTTCATTAATATATTTTAAGACTTCCTATTTACTTTAAAATTACATTTATATAGTGCTAATTATAATCATAAGATATACAGAGCGGTTAATTATGGTCATGAAGTACGAAAGTTACAAACTCTTAGAATGTCTCATATAAGGTCAAGAGTTTTATTTGAAGGCTATACAAAGTCATGTACTGTTATTTTTGTAAAATAGACTTGAAAAATGTAGTAAAATGAGCATTTGTGCTTTTCTTTAGCCAATAGCTAATTTTCTTTGCAATGGGATGTAGTTTAGGTTGCATATAGAATCATTCAAACTTAACATGATCAATTTTGTTTGTGGAGTGATTCGAACCTCAAACAAGTGTTCTTCTTTGTCTTGAGATATTCGGTTAACAAAGTAATCTGAATCTTAGTTTCTATAGAGAAGAACTTAAAAACTTAGAAAATGCACATAATTATAATTCAAAATAAGAAAAATAATTTTGTCGACCTGACCACTTAATAGGTCCTTGAGTTCCCTATCTTTTTTGGGTGGCAATAATAGAGTCCATTAGGTCACTCTAGTTTAACAATACAAATTATATTGTTTTAAATTAAAATATAGTCCACATATGAAAAGTATTATCAAAATTTAAGATAGGTGGGATGAAAGTCCCACGTCGACTAATTTAGAGAATGGTCATGCGTTTATAATCAAAGAATACTATCTCCATTGGTATGAGACCTTTTTGGGAAGCACAAAACAAAACTATGAGAGCTTATGCTCAAAGTGGACAATATCATACTATTATGGAGAGCCGTGTTCATCTAACAATATCATACTATTGAGGGGAAGCCGGAAAGGGAGAGCCTAAAGAGGACAATATCTGCTAGCGGTGGGCCTCTACTATGGAAAGAGTCTAGCCTACTTCGACCAATACATCAAGATATTATCTGGTTTAAAACCATGAGCCTGGCGGCGATATGTAACGGACCAAAATGAACAATATTCGCTAGTGATGGGCTTGAGCGGTTACATTATCATCTTTTTTATTTTATATTAAAAAAAATTGAATGAATTAATTAATTGGCAAACAAGATCTCCCAAAATATCACCTTTTTATTATTCAAATATTAGGAATCTTATCATTCCCCTTTTAGGTACCAAATAAACTTAAATTATTGGGGTCTGCGCTTCTTACCAAAATTTGAAAACAAAATGTTATTGGATTTTAGTCCTTTTTATTTGAATTTAAGTCATCAAACACTTGTATATCAAAATTTTATGTTTATAAACTTACATCAAAATTTGGATTTGATAAGAACCGAGCTCAAATCGAAGATATGGATTGTAAATTTTAGAACACCATTTTTGTATAGATAGCATTAAGAGATCAATTTAAAAGAATGTTGTGAAGGAATTCGAGAGAAAACTCTTGAAAAGTTGATTTTCGTTTCAGCACCAAAAATGATAAGAATCGAGACATGTCCTTACTTTGAAATTGGCTCTAGCACACCCTTGGAAGGTGCCTGGAAGAAAAATCATATCTTACTTCAGTCAAGACTCTAACCGAGGACATGGTGTGTTTATACCATGGGTCTATGTGTGAGCAAGTCACGCTTGAGTATGTGCCTGTGACTCCCTCAAATCACATATGGGGAAAGTGTGTGGTGAGTTGTTTTCTGCCCGTTCAACCTTCGTTTCATTGTTTCTTGATTTGAATTTTATGCTAAGAACTGTCATTGGGATTTTTGGAGAAAGCATCGTGCGTACATGAACATTAATCACCTAAAAAACAAATGTGGAAAGGATTGAGTATAAAAATAAACCCAATGAGCCTACTTATAGTCTCTCATGACATCAACTTAACGGGAGTTCACGCCATAAACCAATCTTGAAAGGGGACTAGGGACCACAGGTAGATGGCTTATGATGAATAAATTGGAATTTTGAGACCTACAAAGAAGCTTAGATTGCAAGGATAGGAGAGAGCTTTCTAAAGTTCAGAGAGAATCCTGTTGAAACCTACTAGGATTTGGTTGCGATAAGAGCCTACAAGTAGTTGTTTACTGGAAATTTTTTATACTCACCTCTTTCCCCTTTTCTTTTTCGGATACCGTTGAGGTGGGGAGATGCTCGGGAGATGCGCTGTTAGCTAAAGGTGTTGACCCGATGTGTTAGTTAATTTGTATTTCTTTTAAGGTTGTCATCTATAGTATTTTTGTATCTTGCACCAAAACACTTTGTTGTCTTCTAATTGGCGCGACATTTTATCATATTTTTCATATTTTAATTGTTTGATATATTTTACTTTTATTTTAATAGTTTTCACTTTGCCCAATTTCTCGAAAACTTGAAGATCGAGACGTGACATACTATGAATTGGATGGGATGAGAACCTGCAAGTAAGTTGCATACTGAATATTTTTATACTCGCCATTTTCTCCTTCTTTTTCTTCAAGTACCAATCAAGGTAGTGAGTGTTCGAGAGCTATGCTATCATAGAGGGGTGCCGACCCAGGCTGTAAATTTAATTTATAATTTGTGCGTTGTCATTTGTATCCACCTCTCATTCCCGTTTGTAAATAACTTGAAGAGCACCTGTCTGGTATGATTTCCGTTTTGGGTTTTAGATTTCCACTATGGTGTTGTATGCCTTTAAATTGCTCAAAAAATTTTACCAACTTTTGCCTTCATTTGTTTGTTATTATATTGTCTTTTTAGTCATAGTCTTAGTTTCAAAAGTTAAAAAATTGGGTCAACGTCCATGAATAATAAATCATAGATTGAACTGTCGAATCGGAATGGAGATAAGCGGACTCGAACCGCTGACATCTGCCACAGGGTAAACCACCGCCTCTCAGGCCCCCGACTAATTCTACCATAGAGGCCAACGATAGACAATAACTCCCCCCCCCCCCAAACACAGCTTACAACTTTCATCGTAATGTGCTCTCCAAAGAGCAACTCTTTTTAAAATCTAAAAAGGTACTGAGTTGGAATCTCGTTCTAACTAAGGATTTTTGTGGTTTCGAAGAATCGAGCTGAATAAAATGTTATATTGTTTGATTTTGAGAAGAAAATTAATATAAAGTTGGACTCTTTTCCCACATGTTTTTTATTCTTTGTTTTAAATGATGCGAATCTAAATCATTTTAGGGTTTTAGAAAATCGAACTACCAGAGTATTTTATAAATAAAAAATTAAAACTCAAAGGTATTTTTAAAACGAGACTCATTATTTAGAGGTATTTTCTATAACTTAGCCTCCCAAATTTTGCGGAAGAAATAATTTGCTCTTTTATTTGGTTTAATAGGGGTTTCCTAATCGGGCGTCTCCAAGATATGTTTTCCGATACCGCTATACAATTACAACCCATCTTTGCTCAATGGATACAAAACACTCATGCTTTAGCACCTAGTATAACGACCCCCGGTGCAACAACAAGCACCGATTTGACTTGGAGATGGTGATTTAGTGGCAGTAGGCGGCAAAATTGCTTTGTTACCTATTCCGTTAGGAACCGTAGATTTTTTGGTACATCATATTCTCGATTCACATAACAGTAAACAGTAAACATAAAGTAGATTTACAGAATCAATGTTTGTTGGAGTTTATAGAAACCCTTTTCAACTTGGGAGTAGTTGATCATATCTTATCTTTATTTTATGATAAAAAAAAAATTAATGTCTTTCATTGCTTCAATTATTTGCAAATGAATTCATATGCTCTCCACGAGTTTATTGGATTATTTAGCAGACAAGATCCACCAAAAAATATTGTCTTTTTATTATTCAAATATTACGAGTAGGGTCATTCTTCTTTTAGGATATTTAAGGTGTATATGTGGCCTCATGTCAAATGTCCTGATCATACTTGTTTAGGACATGTTGTTTATGACTGCATTTCCATTCTAAACTCTTTTTACTTGTTTTATGTTAGATAGATTTTTATTTTTATTGTTGTATGACTTGTGTTAACTGTAAGGGTTAAAATGGCCCAAAATGTACTAGAGGTATGTAAACCAGTTGTCAATTATTTCTATGTTGGTTATATGCTATCAAACTCATTGTTATTGCCTACTCGCTTCTAGTTTATAAGACGTTGCCTTTTTTTTTTTAAAGGCAACTTTGTTATTTAATTTTTAATTTTTAATTTTGTTATTTAAAAAATATATAATGAAATATTTTACAATTCAAGATTACCAAATTGGGTTTCGAGAACCAAGTCAAATTTTCCTCATAATCACCTTTTATGGGGTAAACTAAAGCTTTTAGGATCACATTGCTCTCAATTTTTAGAACAAAATATAATAAATAATAATAATAACAATTTAAAAAAATCTTTTTAAGATTTTTATTTATTTTTTTAATTTTTTTATTATTTTTTTTGCTAAATAATAAAAAAAATATCTAAATTTTGTAACGTAAATATTCAAACTTTCAAAATTTTCAATAATACTCTGCCACTTAAAAAAAATGGTTGTTGAAGTAAAATTTATCAAAAATAATAACGGTTGGATGATGATAGTCTGTCAGCTAATTTATAGAATTATTATAATTTGAAGTGAGAAATACTAACTCGATTCCTACTCGGTTTTTTGGGGAAGCCCAAAGCAAAGCCATGAAAGCTTGTGCTTAAAGTGAACAATATCATATCATTGTGGAGAGTCGTGTTCGTCTAACATGGTATCAGAGTCATCCTCTAAACTTAGTCGTGCCAATAGATTGGTAAATCCTCAAATGTCGAACAAAGAACTCCAAAAAAATAAGGAGCTGAGCCTCGATTAATGGGAGGCGTATTTTGTTCGAGGGGAGGTATAGTCCCACATC